CATAATTTTTTTTCTTCCTGCCTATTATGTTACCTATTTAAAGCTCAACTTCTGGTTTTACCTTCTTTGCTTTCTTCATTTTTTCTTCTCCTCTATCCGGTTATTCATTTTCCAAAGCAATTTTTTAGACATGGAGAGGTATTAGTCAAATCAGCTTGTGAATCCAAATTGTCCCCCTTTATAAACTCATCTCTTCAAATTCCAGCATGGTAGAAAGGAAATTATTTCTGATAAATAATAACTACCAGTTACCTCCCTCACCTTCCCCCCCCCTCTTTTTTTCTTTTTTTTTCCATTTTTTTTTTTCTTTTCTTCTTTTGTCTCATCTTTCTTTCAGTTTTCTCCTCTTACAATTACAGCTTCTAGTCTCTAAGCTTTGAAGGACAAGATATATTTACTATTTTCTATAATATTTACTTCTGTTGGGCCAAATTTGTCTGGAAGTTTAGTAACTACAGTTAGCATCAACATACCTGTTTAATAACATTAAATATCATCTTCCAATACATAAGCAGTTTTTTCCAAGTGAAAGCTATGAGATTTCAAAGATATTAACGTTAGGAGAAGAAACCGTTATTCTTTATGTATTTACCTTATATATCATGTGATATAATGTTCCTAATCAAAATATTCAAGACCAAAATACTCATTTCTTAATGCTTCAGCATGAACTTCTCATTTTATCATCTGCTCCTTGATAGCTGTAACAGAGTTCATTAGTATGTTTTTAGAACTAGTGTCATCAAGAGTCCAAACTATTTGTGTCATTCTGCTGAAATTTACAGATTACATAAAAGATTTTTAGTTCCACATGAATTTGTGAAATCCAAATTTTCTTTTTAGGATTCAAGTAATACTGAGGAAAGAATCAATTCGCTTATTGGCTCATTGAAACTCACAGTGTATGAATATGTTTGTCGTTGTTTGTTTAAGGTAAGATTGTATTTTTTCTGGCTTTTATACAGTGCATTGGGTTTGAAAGAATTCTTTCAGCAACCAACACTTGATCTACTTCACATAAGCAGTATCGTGTCAGTAGGTACATAATGCATGCAAAAAAATTATGTTTGCAATATTTAACATGCAAAATGGGGAGGACTAAAAATTAAAATATGATATGCACATGTCTCCACAGAGAAGTTTTCTAATGGACAAGTCTATTCTGTCTAGTCCTGCTTCTGCTTTACCTCTGGCTCCTCATATCTCCCTCATTCTGGCTTCATAGCCAGCCCCAGGCTTCACAGTCTTCTGAGCACTCTTATTATGTTCGCTCTTATTTCTAGCATTCCCAAGTGTGAGTATTTGACCTAGCTGTCATGATGAGGTTTTGTGTGATTATTTGTTCTTTTTTTTTTTAAAAAAAAAGAAACAGAAAAGCCCCATTGTAATATTCTCTTTTCTCTTTTCACATCCTGCCCCAAATCTCTACCTGCTAGCTTGTTTGTTTCTATCTGTTCCCCTGTTCCTATGTATAATGTTCTTAATGTATTTCTTGTTTGCTCTGTATTTGAATCAGGTGGCTTTCCTCTTCTTGCTTTCTTGGTGAAAACTTAGGATAGATATGCCTTTCACTTTCAATTTTAATTTTTACTTCATAGAATCATAGAATCATAGAATGATTAGGATTGGAAGGCACCTCAAAGATCATCTAGTTCCAACCCCCCTGCCATGGGCAGGGAAATCCTCCACTACACCAGGTTGCCCAAAGCCTCATCCAACCTGGCCTTGAACACTTCCAGGGATGGGGCATCCACAACTTCTCTGGGCAACCTGTTCCACTGCCTCACCACCCTCAATGTAAAGAATTTCTTTCTTATCTAACCTAAATCTGCCCTCTTTCAGTTTAAATCCGTTGCCCCTTGTCCTATCACTACACACCCTTGTAAAAAGTCCCTCTCCAGCTTTCCTGTAGGCCCCCTTTAGGTACTGGAAAGCTGCTATAAGATCACCTCAGAGCCTCCTCTTCTCCAGGCTGAACAGCCCCAACTCTCTCAGCCTGTCTTCATAGCAGAGGTGCTGCAGCCCTCTGATCATCTCCGTGGCCCTCCTCTGGACTCGTTCCAGTAGCTCCATGTCCTTCTTGTGTTGGGGACTCCAGAGCTGAACGCAGTATTCCAGGTGGGGTCTCAGGAGAGCTGAGTAGAGGGGCAGAATCACTTCCCTCGACCTGCTGGCCACGCTCCTTTTGATACAGCCCAGGATATGGTTGGCTTTCTGGGCTGCCAGTGCACATTGCCGGCTCATGTTGAGCTTCTCATCCACCAGCACTCCCAAGTCCTTTTCCTCAGGGCTGCTGTCAATCCGTTCTCCACCCAGCCTGTACTTGTGCATGGGATTGCCCCAACCCACGTGCAGGACCTTGCACTTGGCCTTGCTGAACTTCATGAGGTTCTCACAGGCCCACCTCTCCAGCCTGTCAAGGTCCCTCTGGATGGCATCCCTTTCCTCCAGCATGTCCACAACACCACACAACTTGGTGTCATCTGCAAACTTGCTGACGATGCACTCAATCCCACTGTCCATGTCTCCAACAAAGATGTTAAATAGCACTGGTCCCAGTACCGACCCCTGAGGAACACCACTCGTCACAGGCCTCCACGTGGACATTGAACCATTGACCACAACTCTTTGAGAGCGACCATCCAGCCAATTCCTTATCCACCGAGTGGTCCATCCATCAAGACCATGTCTTTCCAGTTTAGAGACAAGGAACAGTCTTAACAGGAGGTGTTTGTCTCATAGTACCAGACTGAAGAATGCAGAGTAGATCTGCATAGATGATTTGAGCAGTACTACAAGTCATCTAAGTCTGGAGTTTGATCAGTGAGAACGGAGACATCTTAGAAAATTTTACACCACCTCCTCTCCTCTCCTATCAACCCAGTCTATCAACACCAGATTGGGGATGCAGAGATAGCAGTTATTTCTAAGGATTTTGGTTTATCAAAGTCCAAGTAGATTCTCATTAAATATTTTCATAATAATTTAAAGTCTGTATTTGAAGTCATGAGTATGTGAAGCCTTCCAATAGATCATCACATCTTTTGAATATTGGAAGGCAGCTATTTTTATATATCAGAAAAGATTAAAGATTTCAAAAGCAAGGCACAGAGAGGAGATTTCTGGTAGGAAAAATTTTCACTGTGAGTGATCAGGTTGGAGTTTAGAAAATACTGAGAGTGTAAGAGTTAACTATCTTCTTCACTTGAATTTACATGGAGTTAGATACAGGGTTTGGGTTAGTGTTTGTCTCTAAGTTGCAGAGGTGTGTAGCAATTTTGAATTAGGATATGTGTCATTAACTCACTACTATGGAATTAGAGGTCTTTAAGGAAATTAAGGAAATTTTTTTACTTATAAAAAAGGTGGAAAGGTGACTTGTGATGAACATATGAACACATTTTTATTGCTTTTATTTCAGGCTGATCAGCTAATGTTTGCTCTACATTTTGTACGAGGAATGCACCCTGAACATTTTCAAGAGAATGTAAGTGTTAAAAGAGAAAATCTGCAAGTGATTTACTCACAATATGAACTGTAGATAAGTAAATAAAAAGTTTTTGTCAGTAACTGTAGAAGTAAGGATTTAAAATTTATATGCTACTATTTTCCTATGATAGTTACTTTTGGATATCAGCATTTTATTTATTAGGTTCAAAGTGAAGATTACCACGACAAAGGCAGGTAAATGGTTATCTTTTAAATAGGGATCTGAAAAAGATGTTTATGGAGGGTTCTTGCAGTGTTTTGCAGGCTCAACTAGATTGATGGGTGCAAAAGCTATACTGTGGTCTGTATCAGAGTAGTACTAGTTGATTGACTTTTCCATTTGGAGTGTTACTGTTGTCTTTAGCTAGTAAGAAATGAATCTTTTTCATAGAATTTTAGATACTGATTATGTAAAATTTCAATACTTATGAAGATTTTTTTAGTGTATTTCTTACCGCTTCCAAATATAGGATTGTGTCATTTCTAATATGTTTTTAAATACTTATCTAATCTGTCTTAAAATCTGTTAAAAACTGTCTTCCTGGATACAAAGCCAAGTCTAAAAAATTTAATCATACGTAAATTTAACTTACGTTTCCTTTTCTTAACACAACCAGTGTATTCATAATACCAATCTATTATATTAAGTATTCTTCCTGTTCTGATAACTGCATCCTTGGGATACTATAACATGAAGCAGTATTGAAACATGGATTCTGTAGTTATCTGTTCTATGTGGGCTGCTGATGCCCTATCAGGCAGTGTGTGTGTGTTCTTGCCAGCTACGAATGTGACTTCTTGCTAGTCTATAGTTAGGCAATCTGGGTGGGAGCTGTGGGTGCTGAGAAAGGACAGGGCTTCTCCTGTGTTTCTTTTTCTTACAAGGAACCGTAGTCAGTTAGCTTGGATTCTGCAAAAGGAATTACGTACTGGTAGTATTACCTACAGTTTTAAAAATGTCTTGTAGCTCTTTCAGAATCTAGGCTTTAATTTGTTTATCTTCCTGTTTTGCCTACATATTAATCTTTATTCTTAATGATCTTATGACTTATCTGAGTTGTTTTATTCCTCCTAGGAATGGGAGACTTTTACAGGTGTGATCATTGGAGAAACCATAAGAAAATCAGTAAGCTACATTTATTTGTGTATTTTGAAATAAGGAACATTTACTTAAATCCTGACAAGTTAAAGTTGTATTCTTACTATATTGTTTAATTAATTGTATTCATAGATTAAAGGAACAAATGACTTCTCACATAGTAATATAAAAATTTAAACACTTTTTGAACTTTTTGAGCATGGCAACTCATTTTCTAATTTGCATAACTTTTCTCCATTGTTTTTTTTTTTTTCTTTTTTCTGTTACCAGGATTACAATTTAGTTTTTCAGTGGTATGTTTGAGAAGGTTTTAAGCCCTCTTCTGTAACTGAAACCAGTGTTTCTAAATCCCTCTTTCTCCCGGTATCATAATATGAGTTGTATTTTTTTTTTATGGATTGATGGAATTGTCCACACACTTTGCTAACTTTGACATACTTTTTTCCCAGCCTCAGAGTTCTACATCTGGAGATGTATTTATATCTTTTACTAGGTGACAGAGCTAGCTGAAGAAGCTGCTGTTGCATGCCTGATCAATCATGCTGTAGTTTACTAAGTGTCCCTTAATTCTATTGAATCTGTATGCTTTCAAAATAACTTTCCAGTAGAAAAGAGTACAGAAAAAGCTAAGCTTTCTGTAGTCTTATCCATTATAACCCTTCTTTGGACCAAATATTTTAACAAAGGTTTTGAAAGGTGTTTTTACGAAACACAAGCCCGATCACGCATCTCAAGCTCAGTCTTTGTCTCTTCTTTTGCTGATTTCCTCTTCTTCATTCATGGTCAGGCTAGGTCATTTCCATCTAGCTGCAGTTTTCATCATTCACAATTACTTTTAACTTTTAGCCTTGTTTAGACATCTGTTAGGGTATTTCTACATCCAGTGCTGCAAGACAATGACCAGTGTGAGTACTTTGTTTTTAGAATATCTGTGACACCAACTGTGTTCACATGTATGCTGGCAGAAGTGGCAAGTCACTTAAAACACAATGTAGTACTCAGGTTTTTTTTTATTTAAACAACTGGTTGCTAAAAAGATCCTTAAATTCCCAGTTTCTCTAGCCCTTAGATGACTCTACAGATTTTGCATTTCAATGTGAATATAGAAGTCCCTCTTCATCTTTATGGAGTCTTTATAATTCAATTAAACGTCAGTGAACTTGGTGATAGTCAAGTATTTTCTTACTGTAGGTCATTTTCAAGCTGTGTGAGATCTGATTGTACAGTGGAGTTTAACACCAGTCCTACCTCTACACCACCTAACGCACAACCCATAGATGGACATACGTGATTCAACCTCGATTCTAACTGGAATGTATATTGCAGACTCATCTCAATTTTATTCCTACAACTGCTTCTGAGTTTCCTATTTTTGCAGGAAACTACTTTTGTAGTTTTTTTCTCAGACTTCATAACTCCTGACTGAGACATCCTTTCACAAGAAAGCTTTCGTTTTTTCTGCTGGACATTTAAAATTACTCTTGAAGTTGCCCAGTGGTTGAGAGATGTGATTTCCATGCAGATACTGTTAGACAAGTTAACGGATACTGTAAGATTTTTTTGTAAAAAATAATACAGCAAATACAGAGATTCCACTGGAGCTTAAGCTATGTTGTTCATCCGTAGAATTTCTTCCATCCACAACATCTAAGAAGCAGAATAATAGAGCTGTGGCCAAACTTTACCAGTGCAGAAATGTCCTGAAGTGTTGCATTGCCTAGTGAATTACCCCAGAATTACAACTGTGAAAGAACCATCTTCTTCATGACTGTGAATATGTGCAACGGATTTATTTTTTTGAAGTCAGTTGCTCAGAGTGCATATGCAGATAGTCAGTCATTTTGATCACTTGTTTTTAATGGAAAAGAGAACTACTTAGAGTTGAATGGGTCATACAGATACTCTAAACGATAAAATATTTGTACACTCAAGAGTTTAAGCAAATGTTAATGTGAAGTGTACCTCAAATTTGGATCATGGATAGCTTTTGTTTTGTTATGCCACTTATGGACCTAGCAAAAGACCACAGGAAAATTCTTGTCGTGAATACTATTTTTATGAAAAATATGGATTTTGCAATCCTAATACTGAATATAGCAGTTCACAAAAATTTGTGTAACTTATGTGTGTCATGTAACTTGCTTCAATAAGGATTCACAAAGAAGTGTTCGTGACCAGATCCCGTCTTGGATAGAACAGGACCGAGCCTGGGCAGTAGCATCTTTGAAGGTATAAATCATGTAGTGGATTGAATTTAACTTAAAAGGTCTTTGCTTTTAGTAAATAGTAATTTGGATTTGAATACTCAAATATGTGTTTTTCAGATGGAAAAATTTTGTTATTTTGAACTGTTCATTCTATCTTCCAGAAACCATGGCTTAATATATGCTCATTTGAAAACAAAACTCTGGGTTTTTTTTAAATTTCATCTCGTTTTTCTGAGCCTTTTCATGTACACCTCTTCCTCATCTAACAATAAATTTCAATGCATATGAATGAACTCGTCATTTTACTGAGATTAGAAAATACTATAAGCCTACCCAAGGTACTACAATTTCTATAGATAGAAAAATATATGGAGGAAGCATTGCAAAGAATATTTAAGTTGCAGGTTTCTGTTATGTAATGACTTTCAGAAACCACTTCATATTGTATTAAAACCCATATACAGTTAATTGGGAAAGTAGTTTTCTACTTATCAGATTTCCATGCACATCTTTAAAGATATTTCAGAGTTTGTTATTGCTCAGATCAAGGGATTCCAAACTGAAACAAAAATCACTTTCTAGTTGGATTTATCCTGCAACAGTCCGTGTGAAAGTCCTCTGAGCCTGAACAGAACTAAATGAAAATACTAGTTCTTGAAATTTTGACTGAGGCTCTTCTCCTGCATGTAGCTCAGGAGCAAGAAGAAAAACTTTCATTGGTCTTTTGCTGCTAAATCCGGAGTTTGTTGTTTTTCATTTCCCTTCACCAGGGATCAGGAACAATTGCAATAGTGATGTGGCAAGCATGGTTGCTAAGAGTTTAATCAAACCAACAAAAGTGAGCAACTAGGTGAATCACTAGCATGTCCTGATAGAAAAAGAACCTGGTCATGATTAAAGGAAAAGACTAAAATTTAGAGCCCAATGTTTAAAAACAAAGAAACTTGAAATTTAGAAACAAAAATATAGAGCAAATTCAGACTTAACATTTCCAGGGAATAGGTAAACAAATGATTAATTTTAAAACCTACCCTTTTCTTCTTTAGCTCTGAGGATAAAATTGAATTGAGTTATGTGATATGCACAAGTATTTACAGGTTTAGGGTTATAGTGGTATTTGGAAATTAATTAAAATAGGCAGTGTCCAAATGGGTATTCTTCTTGATTGTTAAATATGCATCATTTGTTTTGTAGATTTCTCTCCCAGGTCTCTATCAGACACTTTACTTTGAAGATGAAGGTCTGTGGCACAATTTTTCTCAGAGCTCTGTGTGTGAACAAGACTTTCCATCTACTATTGTGAAAAGAATATCCTTATTTCAGCAGGTAATTTTTTCAAATTAAATTATTTAAAAATAATTATGAGTTCAACATTGAAAGTAAGTTTTATATCTTGGGAGTTAAGGCTTCAGACCTAGTTAAATCATAAGTAGTGACATTGTCTTACAGCTTAACTAGTTTATTTAGTCTAAGGATTTTTTTGTGTGTGTGTAGTACACACTCGGTTCTCTCTTATCTGAGTCTTTTTTGTGTTGATGTATTGGCTTCAACTGAGCGTACCCTGTGAAATAACAGGCTCTTATGAATAGATATTAAAATTCTTTCATGGTTGCTTTGTTACTGCAGAATTTGTCAGCTTGTTGAGCATCATTAATTTTAGTTCATCATTAAATGTACAAACTCACACAACTGACTGAAAACCACAAAACACAGTCGCAGATCCTGCTTTTTAGAATAGTAGTCATGAAATACTGCTCTTCCTGAAAGCTTGGTGATTGAAGAACTCACCAAAAATGCTGGAGAGGCAAGTTCCTTCCTCTACCTGGGGATCCTTCTCCTCTGGAAGAGAAAAATGTCATCCCTCCTGTGTTTATGGAAGAAAGGTTGTTGTTATTTACTTGCAAATGATGCTGTGATTTTTCATTTGAAGTAATTTCATATAAAATGGAGGTCCATCCAAAGAAGGGATGGGGTGTAAGACAATGTAGTTTCACACTGGTTGGCTCTTAGGGCCCCTCTATTTGGAGTTTTTGTGGAGGAGGAGAATTTCTAAAATAGCATGCATGGAATTTAGGAACAAACCATTTTAGAAAGGAATTTGTCTGTCTTGTTTGATTTGATGAAATGCAAAAGAGTCATTCTTATGTGTGCAATGTGTTGTCATAAAAATATTGCATTTATAGGAAAATAAATCTGGAATGATCAGCATATTATATATCTAGTTCCTTGCATAGAAATTAGTAAGAATGTTTCTGTTGATGAAATATACTGAAACTACCTGGTTAGATTTTTATGCCACTCATAAGTGTGTTTCTTTCAAATTGTACGTTAAACTTAAGAATAGTGCAATAGCACTTAATGTAATCTCAAGCTTAAAAAGTAGTACTTTCTTATAAATGTAATGAAGATAAATTTTTCCTCCAAAACTAACAACAGGTATTCAAGACTTGGAAATTGGAATGTGATGGTAGATTCAGAATTGTGGTTTACGGGTCTGCAAGTAAGGGGATAGGAGAAGGGCTGGTGATTTTAACAAATAATTTCTAGTGAAGTTGCATTAGTTGCTTGCAGTTGCCTGCACTGAACATTTGCTGGAAGTTACCTGAAAAAGAGGTAGCTGGTAGGGAAACTGCTAATTTAATTTCTGTCCTAATTGATTAGCTGTTCAGGTTCTTTAGTCTTTTGAAGATCAGTAGAAGCATCTGCAGAACTAGGAGGTTTGAAAGTCAGAATGTCTCAGTAAAAGAAGTTAGATGTAAAGCTCTAAAGATGTGCTTAAACAAAGGAAATTCTTTCAAATCTTATTATTTTACTGTGTTACTGCACTGAAATCAGAAACATTAGTATTCCAGTTAGGAAGTTACTGCCTAAATACATGTATAGAATTTAGATTACCAGTATAAAGCTAAGTTTCCTTTCTGTCATTCTAGCTACCCACGTAGCTACCTTTTTTCTAAGACATTGTAGAAAAAGTTCCAGCTTACAAATAGACGTTAGGTGTAGATCTGTCTTCTGTTTCTATCAATAGGACAAGCTACTTGCAAAAGAACAATTACATTCGATTGTCTGGGAAGGGAATGATCAGATAGCTCTATATATTCAGAGAAAATAACTTTGTTCTAAAGAGAAGTTTAAAGAATTCAGCCTTTTTAGGAGAGTCTTACTTTTTAAATTGTCACAATATACTTTTATAAACTCGTCTCCCCTTAATATATTCTATTTTAAGGTACTTGTGGTCCAGGCTGTCCGACCAGACAGGCTACAGAGTGCCATGTCTCTTTTTGCATGTAAAACCCTAGGTAAGTTATTTTTTCACCAGGGTATTTCTACACAAGAAGTAAATATTTGTGTCCTATGTTTCTCTTTTATTTTATAGTTCTTAGGGAATCCCTGAGTTTTAGGATTTAAAAGTGTGCTTTAAATGGATTTGCAGATTTTGTTCTTTTAAAGTACTGTTTAAATGTGCTTTTAAATTTGTTTAGTTTATGCTACATAGTGATTTAAAATATAATAAAAGATCTATTAGATTTTTTTAATGAATTCTTGAACACTGGAGTAGTTAAGAAAGGAGGATAGCTGGTTTTCTGTAAGTTTTACACTGCAACATTTTCCTTTAGACATAAATTTTCCAAGAAGATTTTTTCATTTAATGTCACTTGCCATTTAAAAAACATTAGATTTGAGAATTCGTAAATTGGATCTCAAAAGATTCTTTCATGTTTTCAGTCATTTTTGTCTGTCTCTTGATTTGTGATACAAGTTTTACTATGTATTTAGAAATGCACATGATTTAATGTGATTCAATACTATGATTGCCTATTGTTCTAGTCTCTCTGTTTCCTGTCTGAAGTCTATTTTATCCAAAGTTTGGGACTTGCATTCCAAATAATCTTAACATTACAATACAGCACACCAAAGCCTTCCTTCAGTTTTTAGCAGTTAATGACAGTATGCATATGGAAGATGAGTTACGAGCGTCTCGTTGGGGTGGACACTGTAGTTTTGAAAGTCACCTTCTGCATTACGTAGGGACAAGGCAGAATTTATTGGTTTTAACATGGTACAGTGTCAGGATGGAAGTGGGATTAACAGAAGGGAAAGTATGTAGATCGTGAAGACCTTAAATGTAAGTGGCAAAGGCTCCTTTTAGTGTGGTAGAAAATGAACCTGGAAAATTGGCTCATAGGCTGCCAAGGTAATATGGCTGGATTTAACATTTCCAGTACTTGTGAAGGGTTGAAGTTTGAATGATCTCATGCATTTTGCATGACAATGCAGTACATGAGTTATATACAAAAAACGACTGTGGTAATTTTAAGTTCTGAACATAGGTGTCATTTCTTGTTAGTATAAGATTAGGTAGAAGTTTAGATCTCTGATTCTTACATTTTTAATGACACTTGTGTGAGAGTTTATCTTACTCTCTATGCTCTGTTTGTGGCCATTATTTGTTGGTCAAAATTGGTTCCCTGTCTGCCACCAAGGCCGGTATTTTCAGGAGTAAGTTTAGCCTGCGCTGTCAGACATTAGTGCTAGATCGAGAGGGTACTTTCGTCATGGTGAGTGAACAGGTCCCACACTGACAACGTCCCTGCCTGCTGCAATCAAATGGCAAGCGTGATCTGCAGTATGTGCGGCTCAAAGCCCAGCAGAGACCGGAATGCAGAGTAAGTTTGTTCACCCACTTACTGCCTTCCAGATCTTAATGAATTACATAAATTGGTTAGGTCTAGCTTGATACCAGTTACTTGGAGGTATTCCTCAGTGGAGTGGGTTTTGGTGCATGAAACTACAGCCTGACTGAGGAAGGCAGAATACCATTGACTTCATTTGTAGGCAAGGTTTAATCCACAGATATTTCTTGCATATCAGTGAGATTTTATTTTGAGATCCCATTATCAATCATGAACAGTGCTTTCCAACCAGTATAAGGGGTCACACTTGTGCGAATATCTTTTTCATATTTTTTTCTACCATGTCTTTTTCAGGGTCCTTGCCCCGAAACTTCTTAAACAAACTATTTCACTTAGTTCAAAAGGGAACTATTAAGTTTCCAATCTCCTTTGGCTGTTTTCCTGTGAGAAAAATGAGTTCTAAAAGAGCTGTAATGGCCTACAAGAAAGCTTTCCACTTCTGTTGTATCCAGATACGTGTTTTTTTTTCCTTTTTTCAACTTTTACATATATTTTTAAATTATGCATGAAGAGGGATTAAAATAATTTCTTTTGAAGATAAAGTTCATAAGAATTTTCTATAAATGCATTTTATGGGCACCCAAAGTATACTTCTTTCTTTATTTTACATGCTGTACTGAAATGCACCATGTTAGCAAAAATGATGGTGTACTCCCAAATCATTCCATATCTCTCAATGAGTCAGGTTTTTTTCATATCTGCTTTAACTTAGTTTTTTGAGTCTGGCTACATCAGAAATAGTATTATAGTTGATTTTAATTACTTACATTTTCAACTTCTTCAAAAAAGCAGTAGAGATGCACGGAAAGAAAACCAGTGCAGACTGAACAAATCTATGTTTTATTCTCGTAGACCATTTTCTCTAAAGTGGACCAGAGCTCTCATGGTCACATTGCATCTAGGTCCAAATAAAATTACTTGCCAAAATAAAAAAAAATATTGCCTCTCCCGCTTTCTGTATTGGAATTCTTAATAGTAATAATAAATTTACTGATAAATTTGTACATTGTTTCTCCATGTACAGATCACCAACAGAAGGAATTTTAACAAGCACTGGAGTTCAAGTTCTAGCTACTGTGAATTAGTTTAATTGCATTGACTTTGGTAGAGAAGTTTTGTGAGTTCATTGATTTTATGGAAGCTTCATCAGTTTATTAAAAAATGTGAAGTTTGCATCCTGTGCCTAACTTTGTATTTATATGTCAGGTCTTTCTTTTTTTCCCTTTTGATCGGAAAAGTTATTTGCTCTCACATATGCTTTTTCTTCTCATGTCAGGGTGTCAGTTTGGATAGTAAGATTTAAAAAGTCCTGTCAGAATGGAGCATGGAGGTAGAAAAGTATGTCAGGAATTCCCACTCTGACTGCATAGTTATTATCTGGAATATGAGTGCTTATGGATTTACCCTGAAAACACTGGAGTCCTTTTTTACAGTTCTCTAAATGTAATCCTGGCTGTAATGGCCAGGTATAGACAGGGCTGTGTTGTAGGTTTTCTGTATTTCACTGCTGTTGAGCTTCCTTGGAACAAAAAGCAGCTCAGTACAGCTGTGCTTTTTCTAAACATTGTGTCCAAGTTTCTAAAATCCCAAACTGTTTTTTGGAAGTAAACTTACACCATATTTATTTTCTAAATGATGCATCTCAAGGGTGCAGCAATATATTTGGCTAGACAGTTGCTCATTTGCAGTTGCACCTCTTTTAAGTTAGCATCATTACCACAAATATGTCATTATAATAACTTAAGTTGCAGGTGTACACACATTCATCTATTGCGGAATCGTGGCTTTTTATTCTATTCCCCAGTTAAGGCAAGACCAAGCAGCAGTCCCCAGTTAACACTGAGTTATGTAGGATATCAAAACTCTTAATCAATTAATCTTCTCGGGAATCTGCGTGCCTTCTGCTTACAGTGCTAAAAATAACAATACAGCCAACAGTCTCTGGTTTATCTTGGTTGCGGTATGTTCCGTGCAGCTGTTTGTAGCAGCAAAGCAGTCTTAGGAACAGGGACTTAAGAGTGGTTGAAGAGGTGAAGAAGAGACGTCTGTCTAGCGTGTTTCTGCCTTTGTCCATGACAAATAATAAATGTCAAGGCGAGTGTATAAGAACCTCACAAGCCTATAGTGAAACCTTTTTCAGTGATCAGTGTTTTATGTCTCCAGGGTTTCTCAACTGGAAGTAAGAACACTGTACTTAAAAGACTCAACGAATTTGCCTTATATGACCTTGTACATCTGCTCTGCATTTCCATGTAACAGTGAATATCTGCAGTATTCCATGACACCCGGTCCACAATGTTAATCAGTGTTCAGAAAGACCTCAGTTTGTTTTTTGTATCCATGCTGCCTGTTGACTTCAACAGATATTTTTAGTCCTATATCTTTCACAGGATTTGAAACAGTAGTGAAGATTTTCAAAATTATTTTCTTCACTGAAATTAAAGTTAATAAAATTTACCTTTCCAAAACCTTACTTTTAATCAAATTTTGATCTAAAATTTCATGTTAAGATTTTCAATATATGCTAATTGCTTATGTAGGTAGTGATTAAGTTCTAATAATGCTTTGTGTAATGTTTTAATACCTCTCTTGAATTAATATGGAAACATTTATATTTTGATACTTCAACAGTGAAATATACTCACAGTGAATACAACTTAGTAGAGAGGGATTTGATGAGATAAAACTTGCTTAAGGTGAAAGAAAGTGGTTTATAGCCCTAATACCAGAACACATTACAAGTACCTCTTCCGTATGGTCCTCATCCACAAAAAGAAACATTTGATGTTGAATTTTCTAATCGTAGGCATAATACCATCTTCCATTTTCAGCATTGTAAATACTCTTTCTTAAAAACTAACTAAAATAAACATTCTTACTCTAGAGAATGTGATCATGTTCTACTTCCTGATATTTTTCTTTTATTGCTTTTTCAGGTAGCTTGAATCATGACTGTGGTTGAAAAAAAAGCAAACCAGTCTGTAATTATATGTTGTTTCACTTTTTTTCTTACTTAATTTTTTTTCTTTTCTTTCTTTCTTTCACCCCTCCCCGACAATAGCTTAGCTATTTCCATTTATTATGTTAGTGAAGGGAATGTTAAATCTGGAGTAGCTTGTATTTGTGAAAAATGTTACTATAAGCTCAGTTTGGAGAAATGACTAGAAAGCTGCTGGGCAGCTTTCATTCGAAGTGTAAACTTTTGTCAGGCCTTCTGAAAATGTGTCCGAGTTTGGCCTGTACAGGATTCATTGACAAACAACTTGCAGATGCTTGTCAGACATTTTTGCAAACCTGACAGTAAAGAGTCTCTAGAGTCTTCTCCCAGAGCATGCTTCAGTTCAGCACTGAACAGCCCTACTTTAATTTAATTGTCATTTTATGGATCTTCTAGGGTTTAGGACTTATTGGCAATGAGCAGCATCAAGAAAGCTGCCTATATCAATTGCCTTATGGCCTCAGTATGTGTATTAATCTCTGCTTATATTACCTCTGCACGCCTAATGAATACAAAATGAAAATATTTTCCAGTATTAGTCTTGTTTAATTCAAATTTTTTAAAGTATTTTGATTGATAGTGATTTTATCTGTTTAGTTGCATCAGTTAGAGTCTCTGTACAGATACATGCAGAGAACCCAGACCGCATACTAACCTTTGTCAACCTGACCTGCTATATTCAAATTATAGAGTATTGTTCTATGTGGAGATAATAGCTCAAGTCTGAAAGCAGACTATGCCCTCAATTAAATGTGTATTGCATCTTTTATTAGGTGTGGCATAGATGTGTTTGATTTGGGCTCTTCAGTCTTGCCTTAAGTTGTGATTTCTCATTGCACCTAACACTTCACTACTTAAGGACCAGTCTAAAGATGCATTGAAAATATGTGGTTAACACTGTTTATGATACCCTTATACACATAGCTTTGGACTTGTATATAAATGCCTTGCCTATGCTAGGTCAACATTCTGAACATTTAAATAGTATATTAAAGCAAATAATAGACCAAATTAATTGTAATACTAAGAACTGTGTAACATCCAAGTCTAATAATTAAGGTTCTCAGGACAATACAGGAGAGAAGTTCTGCATGTGGACATACACACTGCAATTAGTTTTAGCAAATAGCACAGCTTCTCATAGTCTTATAATCCAACTCTTCTCTTTCTGTAAATTTCCCTGAAGACTACACTCTAAATGAAAACTACAGTTTATATTTGTCAAGCTGGAAGTTCAGGCACCATTTTGGTGCTTGTGTCTTTTCCTTATCAATACAGAGAGTGCCTTCTGCCTGCTTATTGTAAGAATTTTTTTCCTCATTTTAGAACCAGTTTTATGGTCTCCATTGAACAAAACTTTGACAGCAGATGACCTCTGAAGTGGTTGATGAAGGACTTCATTCTGTGTAGTCACTTTATTTCCCTGAAAATTCTAATTCTAATTATAGGAATAAAAGACTTATCTCCATCGCCTCTGAATTTGAAACGTCTGTATCAAGAGACTCTGGAAATCGAGCCCATCTTGATAATTATTTCTCCTGGTGCTGACCCTTCTCAAGAGTTGCAAGAACTTGCCAGTGTTGAAAGAAACACTGAGTGCTACCATCAGGTCAGTCTTAGATGAGCATGATGATTAAAAACTACAATGTGTAAAATTTTACAGTAGTAGTATCTGTTTTACCTTGGTTTTTAAGGAATTTAGTATGTGAAAACATAGTCTATGTGTTTGTTGTTCCCACCTGTCTCGCCACTAACTTCTGATTCTATTGGCAAAGTGGGTTAGAGAAGAGAGATACAATTACTGAGTAGACCCCCTTTAGGTACTGGAAGGCTGCTAGAAGGTCTCCCCAGAGCCTTCTGTTCTCCATGCTGAACAACTCCAACTCTCTCAGCCTCTCTTTATTGGAGAAGTGCTTCCACCCTCAGATCATCTTCATGGCCCTCCTCTGGACTTGCTCCAACAGCTCCATGTCCTTCTTATGTTGGAGGCTCCAGAGCTGAATGCAGTACTGCAGGTGGAGTCTCACGAGAGCAGAGAACTAGATGATCTTTGAGGTCCCTTCCAACCCTAACCATTCTATGATTCTATGATTTTTGTTTTTCATCAGCAAACACTCCAGATCAACATAACCTTTTGAAGATGATAGCAAGAAGTGATATTAGCTCACCTCCCAGAACTCTTGGGTGCATCCCATCTCATCCTGTGGATTTTTTTATTTCTAAGTGTGTTGATTGATTTCTAAATCTCTCTGTCTCTATTATGGCTATTGCTTCACTCCTGCTTGTGGGTTTGGGAGATCTGGGAGGCCCGAAAACAAGCCTCAGCAGTGAAACCTCACACTAAAAGGGCATTGAGTATACCTCAACCTTTTCCATGTGCCTTGTCACTATATGCCCTGCCCCACCAAGCAAGTGGCTCACCACTCTCCTTGGCTTTCCGTGGCTGACAGGAACCTTTCATAACTCAAGAAATGCAAAGTCCTGCCCCTGGGAAAGAAGAAACCCTTGCAATGATACAAGTAATAGATTGACTGGCTGGGGAGGACCTCTGCTGAAAAGTACTGGAGGATTTTTGTAGACAACAAGCTGGATATAAGCCAGCACTGTGCCCTGCCACCAATAAGTCTTTGTGAAGACCTAATAACAGCCTTTCAATACCTACAAGAAAGTCACTGAGAAAATGGACCCAGAGTCCTTGCAATCAGGCATGATGGAAAGAAGCAATGGGCATAAATGGTAATGAGAGGAGAAACTTTTTCGCCAGGAGAACAGTCAAACAGATTTCCTGGTGCAGTCTCCATCCTTGAAGGTTCCCAAGAGTCCTCTGGACAGAGCCCTCAGATCCTGGTCTGATCTTTCATGGCTGGCCCTACTTTGAGCAGGAAGTTGAACTAGAGACATTCCAGGATCCATTCCAACTCAAATTATTCTGTGATCTGAGTGGTTTCCTAATATTCCTCATACACAGTACCAATATGCTTTATACCTTTCTGTAAAACATTATCTCCTTCTGTCATTTGAAATATTCAGGGAAGGGGAGTTGTTATCTAGCTGATCACTGGTTAGCATAGAAATGGAAAATGTCAAGTTTAATGTTGCTTTTAAATAGTCCTTGAAATTGTTCTTTTCCTGGAATTACACTGGTGTAATACATTTTTCCCATCAAATTATAAAGATTTAGATCCTACTGCCAGCTTATCTAGCTGTGAATGTTTCAGAATGTATATTTCTTACTCTGCTGCATAACTTTTTCTGTTTATCTCTAAATATCCTTTATACATTGGACTTTTAAAATGTAACATGGTATGGTGTTTGATTCAGGAGTGTTACTCAAAGCTCAATCATCTGAAAGTTGTACTACTAATGAGAATATTTTGTTGTTGTTTTTTCTCACAATTTCTCATTCAATTTATGTAGAACATAGAAGATCAGATTTTTCTTCTCTGTTGAATTATTTCTCATATGGGATAAAGAACAGAACGCTGAATTTGTGTGGTGGACTACCATATTGTCTGGTGACTTTCAGTTACCTTCTTTTAGCTATTTTAAATTATTTCAAGATATTATATTCAGTTCTATTTAGGCGGAAAATATCTCTGTAACATCACGTAAAGCTAAGGCCCCAAGTTTCTTTGATTCAATGCAGTTTTAGGATAAAAAGATAGGATGGATTTCCTCTTAAGAGGTATCTGATGAAGTCATAATAATCGTAATAGTTGTATTTTGCTACAGCAGTAATGCCAAGATAAGACTTTTCAGTTTGGCTAAGACCACTTTCTTTTCAACTTGTTTGGTTCAGGTGTTTTTGTTATGTGTAGCTTCCAGTTAGATTCTAAGGGACAACTAAAGTGAATGTACTCTACATAGTCTAACATCAATTGTTGCAGTAATTGCACCACAGAACAAGTCCATCCTTTATTTTCAATTTTGACTAATTTATCTGAAAATTCAGTTTTGGATCTTTGTATTTCCATTGGAAGATCCAAATTTATTTTAGAAGCAGTATGGTACTATAAAAAATGAAGAAAATCCCTTAAGTTATTCATATTTCCCAGTTGGAAAGAAAGCAGCCTTAATTTTTCACTCTTCTTGATAGGAAATTGAGTGTTTCTCTTCAAAGGAAGTACTCTTAACTTTGTCCTCATTTATCTCTTGTTTTTATTGTATCAGCAGTTCTGCAGTAATACAGTATAGTCACTGATATTTAAATTGCTTTTTGAATTCCCAGGGAATACCATCACTGTCACCAAGTGATGTATGTTTTTTCCATAAAAAGACTAGGTAATGTTGTTTCTTAAGAAACTCTGGTTAGATAGGTTGCAAAGGAAAAACTTATGTTTTCTTTAATATTTTCCCTGCTTCAATAGCCTATTGCATTCGAGAAAATTCTGGTTATCTTTAGCACAGCTTCTTTTTTACATATGCACTCTAACTTGGAAATACAATTGTGTATTCAGCTGTTAAATGAGGTATGATAAATTCTTGATACAACTGTGTCTGTCATTTCAGATTGCAATGGGCCAAGGCCAAGCTGACCTGGCCATTCAGACTTTAAAAGAATGTGCACGCAACGGAGAATGGCTGTGTTTAAAGAACCTGCATCTTGTTACATCTTGGCTTCCTGTATTGGAAAAGGTGAGGATAACTAGAGAAGAATGTAATGGAAACCAGGCAAAATTAGTATGCAACATCTCTGAAGCATTTCAGGCATTTCCATAGTGATGTTTAGAATTCCAACAATTTAAAAATAGACCTTTGCAGTTTTCTCGGTTGTGAAAAAGGTGAAATGCTTCAGATCTAAGCAGCTCCTTCCTTTGTGGAAGCGCTTTAATCTTCATACAATGTAGAGTATTTCTGCCACAATGAGTGAACAAATGCTCCTGTTAGGATTTCTGGTACTTTATGGGATACTGCCTATGTTTGCTGAACTCTGAATTTATGTATGCTTAAATTTATTCTTTTTCTTTTTGGTTCTCAGACTTTCCTTTTAGTAGCTCTTTTTTGTTAACTGTAACTTGTGTCTGAGTCACTAAGAGTTTTTGCTAATTTGAAATTATAATGTCTAATGTTCTATAGAAACACTCTTACTTATAGTGTATAAAATCATTAACTTGCTAACTAAATCAAAGTGACTTTACATGTGTAGCACTGTGAAATCCACAACACAAACTAACTCAAAAATAGAAAGATAGGGAATTCCTATCAACAGTTACTACAATCTTAATTTTCAAGTTTCTAATGATTGTCCGTAAAGTGTACTCCATGCACATGAGCTTAGAGTCTGTCTTCTGCCTACCAATGACCATGTGGCGTGCGTGTGCCTTTAACGTTCTTAGAATCATAGAATCATAGAATGGTTAGAGTTGGAAGGGATCTCAAAGATCATCTAGTTCCAACCCCCCTGCCATGGGCAGGGACCCCCTCCACTACACCAGGTTGCCCAAAGCCTCATCCAACCTGGCCTTGAACATTTCCAGGGATGGGGCATCTGCAACTTCTCTGGGCAACCTGGTCCAGTGCCTCACCACCCTCAGAGCGAAAAATTTCTTCCTTATATCCAATCTAAATCTCCTGTCTTTCAGTTTAAAGCCATTGCCCCTTGTCCTATCACTACATGCCCTTGTAAAAAGTCCCTCTCCAGCTTTCCTGTAGGCGCTCCCTTTAAGTACTAGAAGGCTGCTATAAGATCACCCCGGAGCCTTTTCTTCTCCAGGCTGCATAGTTCCAACTCTCTCAGCCTGTCTTCATAGCAGAGGTGTTCCAGCCCTCAGATCATCTTCGTGGCCCTCCTCTGGACCATCTCCAGCAGCTCCCTATCCTTCTTGTACTGGGGACTCCAGAGCTGAACACAGTATTCCAGGTGGGGTCTCACGAGAGCAGAGTAGAGGGGCAGAATCACCTCCCTCGACCTGCTGGCTGTGCTTCTTTGGATGCAGCCCAGGATACGGTTGGCTTTCTGGGCTGCCAGCACACATTGCTGGCTCATGTTGAGCTTCTCATCCACCAGCACTCCCAAGTCCTTTTCCTCAGGGCTGCTCTCAATCCATTCTCCGCCCAGCCCGTACTTGTGCTTGGGATTGCTCCGACCCTCCATTCTGAAAAAACAGAAAGGCATGATGTGTGTTGTCTAGTCTGAATATGATAGTGAACAGTAAGGAAGTGTTTGTAAGACTCTTAGTAATTATAAAATTTCAGATCTTTTAAGTATTAAAATATGGATACTTACCAGAAGTTTCTTATTTTTTCCATAAGAACATAATGCTGAATGTGCTAAACTTTCTGCTGAGCTTAATACAGACAGAGATTTGCTGATGTTTGACCCCTTGTCTGTTTTACATAACATTAGCAAGTGTGAGGCTATGTAACTCATATATCTGAACATCCTCTTAAGAGAGATCTGCCTATTTATAATTCAATTCCATCCAGATATATAAATTCAGTTCTCACAATCTTTCCATTTGAGAGGAAATACATCTTCTGGTCAATGTGAACTTTATCAATATGAAGATGATGCCTTCACAGCTTACAACTGACTGCCCTTAGCTATCTTCTAGCCAAACCCGATGTATCAGAGAATGCATGCTGCAGATGATTGCACTTGAACCATCATGTAAATTCCCTTGTTTTCTTTTCTTAAATCTGCTTCCAAAGCTGTGAATCATTTTCATATCCTAGTTTGTGTCCCATAACATCCTCGTAGATGAAATACAGACCTGATTGTACCACAGTGAGGTAGATTGAAAACTGGCCTAACTGCATGACTCAAAGGGTTGTTGTCAGCAGCAAAAAATCCAGCTGGAGGCCAGTCATCAGTGGTGTGCTCCAGACATTGATACTGTGGCCGACATTGTTTAACGTCTAAATTAATGATGTTAGTAATGGGACAAAGCACATCCTCAGCAAGCACAGATGATACAAAACTGGGAGAAATGATTGATACAGCACATGAGTGTGCTTTCATTCAGAAGAACCTTGATAGGCTCAGGAAGTAGGCTGGGGGCCAACTGGCTGAAATGCATCTTGGCAGAAAAGACCTGAGAGTCCTGGTGGGTAAGAAGCTGAGTCTAAGGCAGCAGTGTGCCCTTACGGCAAAGGCGGCCACTGGCCTCCTGGGCTGCTTTAGGCAGAGCGTTGCCAGCAGATCAAGGGAGGTGATCCTTCTCCTCTGGTCAGCCCTGGTGAGACACATCTGGAGTGCTGTAGGCAGTGCTGGGCTACCCAGTACAAGAGGGGCAATGGGCATACTGGAGCCAGTCCAGTAAAGGGCCACAAAGGTGATGAAGGGACTGGAGCATGTGTGTGACACAGGGAGAGACTGAGATAACTGAGACTGTTCAGCCTGGGGAAGAGAAGCCTTGGAGGGAATCTTATTATTTAGTGTGTATTGGCTGATGGGAAGGAGTAAAGGAGACAGAGCCAAACTCTTCGCAGTGGTGTCCCATGGCAGGACAAGAGGCCAAGGGCACAAACTGAAATACAAGAAATGCCATTTAAGCATTAGACAATTTTTTTTTTTACTGTGAGGATTGTCAAACACTGAAGCAGGTTGCCCAGAGAGGCTGTGGGGTCTCCATCCTTAGAGATATTGAAAACCTGACTGGACGCAGTTCTGGGCAACCTGCTGTAGCTGTCTCTGCTTTGAGCATGGAGTTGGACTAGACAGTCTCCAGAGGTTCCTTTCAACTTCAACAATTCGGTGATTCTAGGTCACAGTTGTAGTTGTCATTTTGCCTGAAGAGCAGAATAATTAATGGGCTGACAGAATTTTCTTCTTTACTGAAAACACTGAAAATAAAATGATTATGATTATGTTTTAGAGATTGTCAAAATGAATGGATTGTGAGAAAATTTAAGAGTTTTTTGAGCTATGTTTCTTCCAAGAGACATACACAAAACTGTTGACATTGTTCTAAAGTCAATTGTCAAACAACTGTGATATCTTCAGTGGAAAATATGTCTGTTTTGGTTGCACATAGAGCACGAGCAGTATGTTTTCATGCATTCAGTAATTACATATTTTTTGTGAAGCTTTTATATTTGACAGCTCTCAAGGGTAAGGGGGCGCAGGAGGGCTGGTTACTCCTCAAAAAGGAAATTCTGGAGGCACAGGAGCGAGCTGTCCCTGTGTGCTGGAAATTGAGTCGCTGGGATAAAAGACCAGCTTGGATGACAAAGGAGATTTGGGAACACCTCAAAAGAAAAAGGGAAGTCTATAAGTCTTGGAAGAATGGGCAGGAATCCAGGGAGGACTACAGGGAGAAAGTTAGGGCATGTAGGGAGA